TAAGATAGTAAATGTTATGCGCAACCACATAGTCTTCTTGCCACAAGTTAAACATGGTGTTTATTTGCTAATGTGAGGGTTAAATCCCGATTTTACATGTCAATGCCAAGGTACACCCCCTAGTCTTCCATGCAAATATCACAAAGACATCTAGTATTCTACATATAAATGTAAGGAGCCAGATCTGGTCTTTCATACAATTGCCAGGGGCTAGTCCCTAGTGTTTCTTACATATGCCAACGGCCAAACCATGGTCTTCCATGCAAGAATCACAAGGACAACTAGCATCCTACATAGTATAGTGGGAAGACTCACCTCGCAGACGAAAACCATAGCTAATAGCACCCACATCCGAAGAATGGTGCTAAACGTCTCCTAACAAACCATACAAGGTAAAACCTTAGTCTACCTTCTAAAACTAGCAGTTTTACCAAAGCTAACCCAAGCCAAAGGTCAACGATCAAAGTAAAAGTCAACATCAATAGATGGCTCCCACGTCGTGACCTACTCGTGGGCACATCATGGCTAAAAAACTCAGTTCCGCTCCATAACTCAGTATTAGTCAACTCAATCAACAATCACCACGACTTGGGACTTCCTTAGCCACATCGTGAACATGTCAGGAAAAGATAATCGTGGAGTCCCCCATCGACACGTCGTGACACTCTACATGTCAGGTTGTGGCTACCTGCTAGGGAACATCTTATGGATTAAGTCATTAATCCATTAAGCCATCAACTTCGACTTTTTAGAGAGCTTCTAAGGACTCTAAAGGCTCATAAAAATGTCAACTTTATGGACATGCATATCCTTCACCCAACTAGGTCAAAATGGAGAAAGTGACCTAAGATTCTTGCAAGGCTTTACCAATTTTAACCAAACCTAGATCTGACAGTGGTAAGCCTCAAAGGACCTTGATGAGCAATAAGAACTTTATCTCATTCCATCATACAAACTCCTCATATAGACTAAAAATGCAAATAAGACTAGATCTACAAGGAAGAAATCATAAATATATGAGCTTTAAGTCTTACAAATGGTCCAAATGATGATTCCAAGGATGGAGTAGAGTGGCTTGCTTGATCCTTGCTCCAAAAAAAACCCTTTTCTTCTTCATAAAATGTACCAAAAGCACCAAAATGAGTCAAAACTATAATGTGATAGTGGGTTGGAGTTTGAGAGGATGCCTTAATCCTTGGAGCATGAAGCTTAAATATGGGGGGAAAACCTAAAATCACAAGCTTAGGCCAGAACAGCTGCCATATCATGGATATCCTACTACCACATCGTGCCATTTATCATGTTATTACGTTTCATTTAAATCATGCCACGTCGTGGTATCGAGTTTTTCCCTAAAAACTCCATCTTTGATCCCGTTAAGTCTTAAGCTAAAACCATTATGGAAAATGGGTGTTACAACGACTATCTTCAAAAGAGAGTAAATAAGAGGAAGAAGAAGGAGCTATGGCTTCTTCTTCTTTTTAGAGAAAATGAGTGAGAAAACTAACCCATCTTATGCATTCACTCTCTTGAGTATCCCATGTAAGGTATGGTCAAACCCAATATCATAATCTAAAGTGTTATAAAGCAAAAAGTCTTGGGGAGACAAAAGAAGGGAGGTAGAGAAGCAACCTCCCATGCCTCTAAAAAAATATTGGCTATGAGGGGAATAAGAGACAAATATTATCTCCTAGTTTATTTGACCATGAAACACTAACTCATTCACTAATTTAATCATGGTTAAGCAACGTGTCCAAAACTTTGTACATGATTTAGTATATCACACATATGATATAATGACTAGTTTGTTATTTCTTTTATTATTATTTTCATATAACAATAACTATTCTTTAATTAAATAGAAGAGTTGAAGTTATTTATTAATAATAAAACACTTAATAAATATTCAGTAAGTACCAACGTGATTAAGGTGTGACCTTATAAGAACATATGTTACTAGCTCATCATTCAAATAATGATTCTTGAGCATATAGATCCAACATTAAAGTGGCGAAAACAATACATAGAGTTAGGGTGGAGATTTCGGCCAAAGGTGTTTTGAGGTAGAATAGATGATTCTCCAATTAACCAACTGAGATTGTTCCTTATGATTTTATTCAAAGACCAGTTGGGGATTATTCTTTAACTCGTTTTTGGAAAGATGTTTGGCCCATAGGTTCATGGTTAGATTTCCAAGGTTGTTTCTTTTAGAAACGTATAAAGAATGTTGCATAAAAGATGGTTGGGATTGTAATTCATGGGTTTGAAATTAGCATCATGAGGTGCGAAGGAGAACCGAGCAAGCTTAAATGATGGGCTTGATCAACATAATCTTGAATTTATTACATCGACTTCATAAGTCAGGTGGAAGTGGAATCTAAGTCATTCTGATAATTTATAGTTACCGATACAAGAAGATGTATTGATGATGTGACTTTACAAAATGCTCAAAGTGCTACTATATGGAATAAATTATTTTTAACAAAATGTCACAATAAGGTGTTGGAGGCTATCGATGAATAGACTCTCAACATTCAATAAGTTAGCTTACTCCGCCACAACAAATATGAGAAAAGATTCAATTAGGGACTCGATTATAAAGTTTTCTTTTTAATTGATTTATAAATAGGAATCCTAAACTCAAAAGTAATCATGATTGGAAAGCCCAAGTTATGTTTGTTCCTTTGTAAGTTTGTTTTTTTGTCATTAGTATCGTACTGTGTGTGTATGTGTGTGTGTGTGTGTGTATATATATATATATATATATATATATATATATAAAGCGTGAATTGATGACAATGTCAAGCCTCGAGCTTTTACGAGCTGTGGTGAGTTATGTCGTTTGTAAGACATAACATAAAACAACAATTATATATATATATATATATATATATATATATATATATATATATATATATATATATATATAATTGTTGTTTTATGTTACGTCTTACAAACGACATAACTCATATATATATGGGGATAGAGAATATACATTACAGCCCCACTTAAGCTTAGGTACTAAACCTCTAAAATATGTTGTTTTAACATGCTAAATATATCTGGTTTGGTTTCACTTGGTAAACATATCATTCTCCATAACATTTCTTTCTTTCATTATTGTTTTATCATCTCCGCTTTCTTTTCTCAATTATCGTTTATTACTTCATCCAAGTGAACATTACTAAACCCTAAACCTAAACCTAAACCCTAAATTCAAACCCTAAACACTAAAGCTAAACCCTAAACCCTAAACCCTAACCCTAAACCCTAAACCCTAAACCTTAACCCTAAACCCTAAACCCTAAGCCCTAAACATAAACTTAAACCCTAAACCTTAAACTCTAAACCCTAAACCCTATTGTGTCGATCTTGAATTTACATCTTGAAGTATTAATCGTGAATCCATTAACCGTAATCTTTATATAGTAAAACAATGTATTTTCAAGAGGTTTAGTACCTAAGCTTAAGTGGGGTTGTAATGTATATTCCTTTTTCCCTATATATATATATATATATATATATATATATATATATATATATATATATATATATATATATATATATATATATAAAATCTATTATTATCCATTTTTATACGCATATATAACTTAAGACAACATTTTATTAAAATTTGATGTCAAATACAAACCTTAGAATAATGACGTATCATGACGAGCTTTTTAGAACATTGATTTTATTGGTTTTAAGCAACAATGTTTCTACCTTTTCTAATTTTATATAACAAAGTTGTTTTAAAAATTATATAATTGAGACAAGTTATATAATTACATTTTAAGCAGTTAAACATGTTACTCGTATAATAATAAGTTTTAAACATGTTACTCGTATAATAATAAGTTTATAGATTCTAAAATAAAACAAAATTATATATTTTATCTTAATAAAATTTGATAAAATACAAACATAGTTGATAAATAAACATATAACTTTATTATAAATAAAAACACAAATAATATTCAGGATTTCTTTTAAATATTCGATATTCAATTAAAAGAATGGTTATTGATCTGATAACAAATATCATGATGATAAAGGCAAAAACAAATACCAAAACAAGACAAGTCTCATAATGGTATAGACAAGTATAGGCCCATGCAGGCCCAGTTTCCCGTTTAATAGATTTGTGACTTTGTCCTTTCTTTCTTGATGTAGCCCATTCCCAATCACATCAATAAAAAAAAATAAGATGCTAAAATTTTACAAAAATTAAAGCATAATTACATGTTGCATCTGAAAACAACTTTATTCCTATAAACCACATAAACGTTGGGTTTTTTTTCCCTAGTAATAACGGCTTTCAATAAAGAGTGATTATCTAGCAATATTAAAATAAACATTGTTCCATAAATTGATAACAAAATGTAATATTACATAAATTAATAAAAATCAAAAGATTCTTGGATAAATTGGTCAACGAATAAACTAAATTTTGTATACACCATATTTTTCATAATTAAATGTTTGACTTATAGAAACACTTAAAGTAATGTATTTTTTTTTTTTAAATAAAAAACTAATAGTAATCGACTTCTGGTATTATTTTTCAAATATATACTAGAAAGAACTATAATAGCACAAAATGTTTTTCCCGTAAAAAAAAATCTAATATTTTAATGACAATAAGATAACTTAAATAATATTCTGATTAGTCTGCAAAGTATATTAAAAATACGTAAAAAAAAATTGATTAATATATTATAACTACATAACATAATAACATAAGGAATTGATCGATTATAAGATAATACAAAATAACAGACCAAGAAAAGGCATTATCATGGCTGCCAATTAAACCAGTTATTATTGCAAAGTGGTCCCCATATTTTCAATTATATGCCATTTAAAGTTCTAGGAAGTTAATTAATACTTTAAGGTACTCAATCCCCAATAACTAATTACGCTTCATGATTAAAAATTTAATATACCTTTGTCGTATCTATAGCAAATTATATATTTCATTCTTATTTATATATTTTGCTTATAAGGTAAAGATCATATATGATTTCAAGAAATAAATAGATTATTGAAAATGAAGGATTATTCGATTTTAATTACATTGATTCACAAGAAGAAATAAAGAAATTAAATAACAAAAACATGATGTGATTAAAAAAAAAAAAAGACAATAGGCGGAAGGAGACAAACAGTATGTGAAGATCATCCATTAGCTTTGTTCCAGCCCATGGACAGCTCAAGTCTCCTGAATTTAGATAAGCAAAAGCATGTGATGAAATACCTCCCCTCTTTCCTTTTATGTTTTTTTTCTAATTACTTTAAAAAAAAAAGGTTTAATAAACTCTGTCTTTAAATAAATAAACAAGAAACAACAACTGGGTCTTACTTATTACTTATTATATGTATTTAATTTATTTACCAATAAAAAAGATACTCCAAAAGGTGGTGTAACTTATGTCTTTACATAGTCCATGGCATTCCGCTTGCGTTTGTTTGAACTTGAAAAGAAACATATTTGAGCCCATGATGATTTCTTCTGTTTCACTGGTTGCACTTTCACTTCCTTCTTCTCGTGGAGCTCGTTCATGTATTGTATAACAGCCTGCAAACGTTAAAGACGAGAAATTAGCAGTGTAATTTAATTACACAGGATAGAACAGGACAATAAAAGTTTTTTAGTGCTTTCGTGGGTATGTCCCACTAAAAGTTGTAATTTATGTCTCATCGATATCATCTCAACTTTTGGGCGGACTAAAAGACAAAAGGTCAGCAACTTTTTGTCCTTGCCTTTTGGGCAGACAAAAGGACAAAAAGTTTGCAATTTTAGGAACTGATGACGATCATCAGTCCATGATACAACTTGTTAAAGTTGTATCATGTCATGCCCTGTTATGTTGTTGAGAATAACAGGACTAAGACAATAAGAATTAAAAATAAGTACTCACTTGAGCGCCGTTGTCAAGCACAGATAGCGGCGGTGAATCCAACGGATTCCCTTCTGCTCTCAACACGCGTAACTTCGACAACATACGGAAAGACTCCGGAAGCGTCTTTATTTGATTGTTACTCATATTCAACTCTTCCAAATTCTCAAGGTTCCCGATCGATCTAGGCAAAGATCTTAAATCCGCAAAATTATTACTAACATTAATCTTCACAAGCGAAATAGCAAAACACAAGCTCTCAGGGACCGATTCAAGTTCATTGAAACTAACATCAAGCTCCTTTAAATTCTTTAATGACGACATTGTAGTAGGCAACCTCCCGATGTTATTATAACGAACCGATAATTTCTCCAAAGATTCTATCTTTCCAACTGCTTCCGGAAGGGCTTTGAGTTTGTTGTAATCCGCAATAAGCTCTTTAAGTGAAGAGCATTGACCAATCATATGTGGGAGTTCTTCGATGTTATTCGTCTCGATGTTTAACTTTTGTAGGTTTTTGAGTGAGCACACGGATTCGGGGAGGATTGAGAAGTTGTTGGAGCTCAAATCAAGGTCTTGGAGATGGATTAGTTGTCCGAAAGTCGAGGGCAAATTGGTCATTTGGTTGGCTCGGAGATCGAGGTAGATTAAGGAGAAGAGGTTTCCGATTGATTCCGGGAGTTCGGTGATTTTGTTGGAATGTAGATCGAGTTTTGTTAAGGATGAAAGACCTCCGATTGATGAAGGTAAAGCAATGAGGCGATTTTCTGATAGGTTAAGAGTGATTAAAGAAGATAACTTTCCTATTGAATCGGGAAGCCATTCTATTTGATCCATTAATTTGTTGCTAAGATTGAGTTCTTTTGCTCCTTTTTTGGAAGATACTTCAATGAGACTCGCAAGCTTTATGAGACTCAATTTCTCACCTTCTTGACCTACAAAATTAAATAAAAAAAACGTCATTTGTAATATAACAAATTCAAAATCAGATTATATTCAAGAAATAACAATGTACTTATATTCATTTGTTTATTATAGCATCCTATTTTCATTTCTTCCTATTACATAATTGTAACATTCATTGTATTTGGACAACAAGATTAAGAAAGTTTAAAAAGGTAAAAAAAATCATGATGATCTCATCAAACAGTAATATGGATAGAAAAGTACCAGATGCAATGGAAGGTTTTAGAGTCGAATCAACAATCATGGGCTTTGAAGTATCAGTAGATCGAATCTTCCTTCTGATTCCATCACCATAAGTAGTAGACTCCATCTTGCTCACATAACTATCATCTCTAGTGAACAACTCAGAAGATTTAACATTTTTGGGTGAGTATGAGATTGAGTTGCTAAGATTTACACCAGAGTAAGAAGGTGGAGTTGTCAAAGGTGACAAGGTGGAGTTAACTGATTGGGTGGTAGTATTATTATCATCACTACCATTAGGAATAACACATCTGGAAGCTCTCTGAATCATTTCATCAAAGAGTATATGGTAGTTTTCAAGATCAAGCAATTTAATGGCTTCCCTTTTCTGTTCTATGGTGTGGAAATCGACTAAATGCTTTTGCATCTCTATCAACACATTGAATAGTTCTTCAGGAACATCTTTTCGCTTCTTTTGCTTAGCAATGGATTCCAGACGTGATTGTTGTTCGCTTTCTGCATTTCGGATCAGTATTTTTGCAGCTTCAATGTCTTCAATTCCAGGTCTCGGAGGAAGAGATCTATGAATTCTCATTATCTCTTCCACCACTTCGTCTGCTGATTTTGCTGAAGCTTCCATTTTTGCTACTCGTTTATCCTACAAAATTTACAGGAAACGTGTACAATTAAGATCCGTAAGATAACAAAATCCAAATCAAAAAAGCAATCCAGATACGATTACACTAAATGTACCAATTTTAGTAACAAAAGTATATAGAAAGAGTAACGAATCTCATTTTCTTCTGAAACAAACAACCGGATAAACTGAAATCGCCGCTCAATACCATCGACGTTAATATATTAAGAAACAGAACCAAATTTTCGTTTTTGCTTCATGAACGTGGTTAATAATGTCTAGAACAGCAACAATTTCATGAGATTTGTTTTGGAAAAACGAAAATGATACTTGAACTACATAATTGAGCAATTTGAAACAACAAAATTACCGAAGAGAAAAGAAAATCACGCAGAAAGACGTCATAAATTCAATAAGCCTCAAAGTTTCCGAAAACGAAACGGAATTAGTATCGGATATCTTTTATTATTCTTAGACCAAACTGAAATCTATCTACAAAAGTGAACCAAACAGTAATAGTAGTAAGTTGAATTGAAATTTTAGAAATTGACCTCGGAATAGTTTTCTTTTCAGAATCCGTTGAAAGGAGGAGCGGCGGCGGCTAGGGCGTTTTCACGGTGGAGAGAGAAAGTGAAAAGAGTCGGTGTTTTGGTTCGACGGGGAAATCAGATTGAGCAAAAGTGTGTGTGTGTGTGTGTTTTACATCTACACTGTAAATGTGATGTGTCTGATAATTTTGAGTTATATATATCTTCTCTCCTCCAAACTATTACTCTCCTTGTCCGGCATAAATAATCATTTAGAATTTATATTATATAAAAAGGATGTGCATTTAATTTATTTATTTTGCATTTTATATTCATGTTGTTATGTTTTTGTTTAACTATTTTATTGCCTAACAGATTATCCATGGTAGTTATAGTGAGTGTTAAATAATTTAATGTGGATTCCATTTCCATAAATAATAAATTGACTAATTTGTGTATGATAGATTTGAATTTCATATTAAATGTAATGTGAATTTCATGTGTGATAATAAGAATTTGACTTTTGTATTGTGTTGTATGAATATGTTGCGTTTAATATGTGGTTTAAGTAGTGTATTTTGAAATACTTTATAAGATTATAGATATAAGTTCAATTTTGGTGTATGATATTGCATATAAAGGGGGTAAGATGCATTCTATAGACGATTGGATCATCCACATCGAAGCGTGTGAGTGTATATGTAAAGACATGATATTGCGTATAAGTAAGTTGAAACACATTGTGTAGTTATTAAGGTGTGTAAATTATTTCAAAGATTTGTATCAAAAAGAAAAATGTGTTATTGATCTTAAAGGATACACGAAGCAAAAACATGACAATAGAACATATATGGTGACTGATTTGTAAGCATGTTATCGATGCCCGACTGATATTGACATGAAGAGTAGACGAAGGACTTAGTTGGAGGCATTCATGAAAACTAGTGTAGCACAACACTTTAGAGACGGAAGAAGGAGAAACTATGAAATTTTTATTGAGTGTTATGTTTGATATTAGAACAAATCTTATTTATGTCATTTTTTCATGAATTGATTCATTTGGGATATTCTATGTTTCTCTTATAAATTAGGGTTTATAACTCTTCATTTTGATGAGCACATAAAAATAATGATAAACAAGATTGTGTTATTCTTTGATTTCATTCTTGATTCTTTTATAACTTGTAATCAAGGAAGTAGGATCATATTTACGATGAAAGTGTAATAAGTTATAAATTGTCGTGATTTTGCTAATATCAGTATTAATAGGTTTAAAGTGTCAACGCATATGAGAATGTAACAAGATAGTCAATAAACGATGATTTACTTAAACTCCTCGATCTTGGAATCATTAAATAGTTGTGAGTACATGTCAAAATAGTATATTAGGCATGAGAAACCTAGTGATTGATCTGGAGGTTACACAAAAAGAACAAACATGTTATAATAATAAACGACAAATCATTCTTTCTAAAAAAACATATAAAATCATGAAAATTTCAATAAGTTAGGGGAAAACTTTGCAAATGATATAAGTACATTGTTGTTAAAATAATAATTAGCATTCTCAAGGTAAAAGTATAAGTATGTAATGAATAATATGCAAATTAATCCTCAAACCCCAAGTCATCTATAACTTACAATTATTTGTCCCCAATTTCTATGAGACTCCAAAGATAAGTGTACTCATGAGAAAAAGTTTAAGAAACATATATCAAAATTAATTCATATCATATTCTCTACATAGACTCCAACAAATTTCATCATACTATTTACAAGTGAAGCATGATATAAGTAGCACGGTGGAGGGATTACAAGACCCAACCATCACATGAAAGTTTCATTGAAAACTATTTACAAGCTTTTACACATGAATATTTTCTTGGAAATCATTTATCATCAATCATAACATTCATATTTCTATATCAAGTCATTCTCAAGTGTATGGACCACACAACTATCATACTCACCCAATATGGATATACATGATCATGTTTAAAAACTTAAACTTAATTTAGGAAATATTAAAAGAACATTGTTATTTCAAAACATGCATTTTCTTAAAATAATGCATGAATGACTACGATAAATTCATTTCCAATTAAAGTAGACATATAGTACGGTCACACAAGAAATCAACCTAAAATACAATGTCATATAAGGGGACACATGTTATATTGTAAAGAGCTCACCTCAACTATTATAGATGCTCAACTTCACTCCTCGTGGTATTCAGATGATTAATTATCAACTAAAAGTCACCAAGATTTTTAGAATTTAATTATTAGTTGCATTATAATCATATGTTTAATACGAAATATCTCATTTTAATCTTTGTATATCATCCTTAAGATCGTGGAAAATGCTGGAAGTAATTACAGTTGAAATGAATCTACATCGAAAAATTTCGCATGCAACAAAAATCCGATTACTCGATTAAGTAAAATTGTTCTACTATTCCACTTGATCAAGGGGAATGGTCTGCCAACAAAACTTCAAATTTTATCCCCTTAACAAGTTTCCATGGCTTGTATACTTGACTCTAATACTTCCAATGACAATGGAGGATTAACTAACATTGAAATATTTGCTTCAATACTAAATAACATCCTGAATGCAACATTAAGTTAAAGATCTACAAGCTAAAATGAATATCTAAATGATTTAAATGGATTTCTTCAACTATATTTCCATAAGTTTCAATACAAGGAGTTAATCATCATAATTCGACGTGGGTTCCAAAATTATGATTCTCGTTGATAATTACAATCTACATTAGTAAAACGAATTAATAATCCAATGAATTAAACTAATTCACATGCAAAAAGTTCAATATCACATAAAAACTCATGAACTTAAAAACTAACTTGAATTCACTCAATTGTAATATAAGTTGCTAGCATTGTGTTTTGAACTCATCAACATAAACTAAGAATTCAAAACACAATTCTGATCTATAACATCTATAAATTTTGTTTTCTAATTTTTTACTCATAAATTCTCAAATCTAAGGTTTATGAGTTTCAAAACAACATCATAAACTTAAATGCAAACAATATCATGAGATATTGTTGTTAGATTTATAAGTTACATGAACTTCTAGTTAGAAACTCAACTTAACATATAAGTTATCATATAATTTTATATTTATGAAGAATCTAAACCTTAAAACTCTAAGCTTTATTTCCTTAATTGCTCCCAAAAACTGTCCTCCAACTTTCTATCTAGCCTAAATTGTTTAAATGAAGAAGAATTGAGGAATTAGGGGTTTAAGTTCCAATCTTTCATAAGTTTGCATAATTATTCCCTGAACTTGTTTCTTTTGACTTTAACCCTAAATGAAATCCTAAGAACATTCTAACTTTACATCTTTAACCTAACCCCTAAACTTAATATATTGTCGGTGTAAGTCTAAAACCTAGTTTACCAAGTTAAGTCCAAGTTATGACTACGTTTCCAAACTTGATAATATATTGCTTTTCTTATCTTATGTTATAATATTAAATGATATTTTTTTTTACAAATAAGTCAATACGCTAATTAAATGGAATTATTTAGATATCATTCATTAATTCTCAACCTTAAATATTTTTACTTAACTCATCAACTAGCTTATCTTCTGTTGTAATATTAAATCTTTTTGGCTTTTTAACCCTAAATGACATCCTAACAACATTCTAACTTTACATTTTTAACTTAACCCCTGAACTTAATATATTGTCAGTATATGTCCACATCCTAGTTTACCAAGTTAAGTTCAAGCTATGACTACGTTTCCAAACTTGATAATATATTGCATTTTTTTATCTTCTATTGTAATATTAAATGATAATTTTTTACAAATAAGTCAATACCCTAATTAAATGAAATTATTTAGATATCATTCATTAATTCTCAATCTTAAAGATTTTGACTTAAGTCATCAACCATCTAATTAATTGAAAAAAATTATTACTTTAAGCTAACAAACTTTAATTTTTTAAATCCATTAAATTAATATTTTTAATTAATTTATATATAAATTCACTTAGAGATTAAAACTCTAAACCCCAAACTGTGAGTGTTACAACTACTTGAGGATGACTTTATTACTGGAATCATAAATCAAGAATAATAGACTAAGGACTAAAGTTCTTAGATATTAATTCCCGTAGCAAATGATTGACATACCACAACTAGCCCATTGATACTCATACTCTTCAAGTGAATGAGTATCTTAATGATTTTACCTTTCACATGTGTTTATGAGAATCTATATCAAATCTTATTGTGTTATAAAAAACGATAGTGTTTTGATCCAAAAAATATACCATCCTTGGCCTTAGGAGACTCATCTTAATTTATAGCACCATTTTAACATTTTTTTTCATTCTTTCTCTTGGGCAACTTAGAAGAAATATACATGAACCTTGTAACACTTTTATCATTTATTAGAACATAATTTGGTATAACGCCCCCTTTTTTACATCTGAAAAAAATTCCACTGTTTATGGTTTTGTGTGAATCCTAATTTTTACTCTTCCCTTCAAGCTTTATCCTTTTGTTATATATTTATCTCTCACTTTGTGATTTTCCTTCACATTTGCATGTTAGTAGTAATAGCTTCACCTACAAACACATAATAACTCCATAGTAATCTGTCAACAAATTCACCAACTTTTTTCTCTTCATCTGACACTAATCTTCTTTGAAACTCATAAGATTAAGAACTTTGTGTTGTATTATGTGATGGACATCTTTTTTCTTTAATCCAAGGAAGCCCTTCTTTACTTTTTTGATCTTTTCTTCCATATCAAATTTTTCCTTAAGTTTGTCTACGAAGTCATCCCATGATAACTTGTTCAAAACTCAGCTGCTAACCAATTCTTGGAGGTTAGTCTACCATTGCAAAGCTTATGTCTTAAATTTCATCACCACACAGTTAGTTCTTTAGTAGTCGATGAAATATAAAAGCATTGAACCTACATTTCAAGTATCTAATTATGAATAAAAAAGAATTAGGAGTCTAATCATAACTTGGAGATTGGCATTCACTTAAGTCTTCATAGGTACATCCCTTTTTTACTACTTTTTCCCTTGGACAAGTCTTTAAATGTGAGTTGCCTCTTAAACTAGGGTGAGAAGTACTATATTTTCTTTCACTATACTCGCTCATGGTAGTATTTGGGATACTTTGCATAATGTTCTTCATATATTCTTTGAGTTTTTCATTATATTGGGCCACCATGTTCTTAAGCTCTCTTATATCCTCCTTGACTTCTT